TTAAAATGTTAGCATATTTCTCTCTTGTTATTTAATTGTGATCATATCATTTATTAAGAGGGAAGTTTCACTTGTAAAACTAATTTTCTTTAAAACTTATGGGTCGTGTTGAGGTCCCTTAAAGCTTAACGTTCCGGAAGCATTGTAAAAGGTTGGATTGCACCACAAATCAATCAATATAGTGAAATTGGCATTGCTCATGCAGGTGATGGTAACAGAGGACGTAGATAATAGCGTTGGATCAAACTTCCATAATTATATCGTTTGCATCATCGAACCCTCTCTACTCATTGCTTTCAAATTCGTGCTTATTACTTAAATTAATCTATCTAATTATTATGTGTTTGATTTTAGATTAATTTTTCGAAAAATTTTGAAACCAATTCACTCTGGTTAGTTACTTTTGGGCTATCAAAGAGAAGTAATAACCCCAATAACACCGTTGACAGTGCCAAAAATGACAGTTGGGATCTGGCTAACATCAAAATCTGCTAATCGCATTACAAGAGAACCATGTTGAAATCGATTAACAAATTCACCGAGGTGATATTCGCCAACTATCTCGAGACATCCTTGTTCCTCGTCAGTGGTACCTTCTGTTGAACCCCGAAAAATGTGACACTGACGTGGACAATAGATATCGAGCCCACTTACGTCAACTTAAGAAAATTTCGGCATGTTTTGACCGGAGTACCGGAAAGAAGTGATCACTACGTGAGACACAGGTGTTCGAACACCGATGGGTGAAACAAAGATGACTGCACTAACAACAATCACCAATCAAATGCCTACGATTATCTGCTAAAGATTGAACTAATAAACATAGAACAAGTAAGATGATATATGGAGAATTTTTTCCTCTCTGTGTTAGAAAAAATGCCCACAAGGCCCTTTTTGTGTTTCTTTTTAGATTTTTCCCTAAAAGCCCCTTTCCATTTACAAAGACTTCATATTTATAGTGTTTGGCCGACGTGGTATCCATTGGATCAGAACCATGTGGCCTCATTTCCTTGACTAAAGCTTTACATCACTATCATACAATAAATACATTGACAACGGGTCAGTTACCCTATACATTAGACTGGCACACTTAACATTTTGTATAACAAACTTACATCAATCATTCCTAAAGATTGTCTACAAATCTTGTAAGAGACGGCTTCAGTTTCAAGAGCTTCGGATGAACTAAGGCCTTTGTAGGAGGAAGCTTTGTATCGGTCTTCTATGTGAAGAGTTTCATCTTCTTCTCTAACTTCTTTAGGTTGCACTTCGGCTTAATAGAAAGCTCTTCGGCCATTTAAGCAGTACTTCGGCACAATATCTTCAGCTATTCATTTGATCTCCTTACAAGTGACCAATTGACTTTACTTTCCATGTGGATTGCTACGTGTTGAGTCTTGGTGGCGAGGCATAACACCTTCACTATTTTTGTGAACAATATAGAGGTTGAAATTATTTTCAGCACCGCCATAAATGTCATCATCTAGAATCTCGATGGCCAACATCCAATTTGCGTTGTAATCACGAGCTCGCTCCTCAATAGCACCCTCCTCATGTTGCAGACAGCAAACCAAGAATATGAGAAAATTAGAGTTTCATTAGTTCTAATAAAAAATGGCAAGTAAAATTATCTAAAAAATATGATAAATAATAAAAGTATTAGTTTGCCAAAAATATTTGAATAATTTAACTTTTAAAAATAAATAAATAATTAAAAAAAATTATTATCTCACTTTAATGAGTGGGGCAATAAAATGAATTATAACAAGATAAAATAAAATAAAATAAATCGTGTAGTAAACGGGGCACGCCCACCGCCCCGCCTTAAACGGGTAACAAGGCGGGTGCAGGAGAGAAATTACCTCGCAGGACGAGGGAGGCCGCCCCGATCCCGCCCCGTCCCGTTGCCATCCCTATTGTCATTTGTACATTATTCTTGACACTTGCATGATTGTCAAAAATTGATTGGATGGAAAAATAATTTTTTTTTTAAATTGGCAAATGTGTTGGTACACCAAGCATGATTGTTTGTTGGTCCTCATCCACATAGGATGCTCTCTGTTTTTGAGTCCATGACCAGCTTTATGAGTCCATAATTACATGATGATCATCTCCTTACAAGTTAGTTTTTAGACAGACTATATCGAGTCTAATTATAGTTTCGCGACATGAGGCTTAGCTTGTGGGCTTATTGTGAAACCAAATCGGATAGGATGTATGATTGGAAATGGGGGCAAGTAATTAGAAATAAATGTTATACTTTCTTGGCAACACTGTAGCTTCTATCTAGCATTTTATAACTAGTCATACACATATGCCTCCCAACCGAGATGCTTGCTATGTTCTAATAGTACTATATTTGGTTTGTGTTCGTGTATGTGTGCCCACGCGTGTTAGTATGTGCATACTTCTACACATGTTTTGAATGGACACAAACATAATTATGCATCAATAAAAAAGAGTTCTTTTTTAATATATTTTATTAATTCTACTGTCTAGTTGAGTACTGCATGTTAAGAGATAGAGTAGTGTACTTGAACTGAGAATAGATAATCTAAGGGAGAATTTAAACAAGAGTTGAAGTAAAAATCGCAGATTGCAAAAAATCTGATATAGCATCTCATAGATGTCTTCCACATCATTCGCGTCCACATAAATTGGATTTCACCGCATACTTGTTGACGTGCAAAGGAAGTATAGCCAGAGAAATATCAAGTTTGATAAGTTAAGGGAACAATTTTCTTTCAAATCAAATGTAACTCTTAAACGTTTGTCGATGGTTTTCTAGCTCCCCCCAAAATTAGTCAAATTACAATTACCATTGCAAAATATTCATACATTTTTAGTTCGAATAGTGAGGAAAGTTAAGGACTAGAACTTCTTAATGTATAACATTTTCTTGTCTCGTTGTTAGTCGCTCAACGATACTGTGGTTAGTGATGCTCGTAAGAGTTTGCCTTTAATCATGGGCACTATGTAAAAATGCCACTTATTTTTACAGCAACTCACCAAATCAAATTGAAAAAAGTTTCACGAAGTCGCAGTCAAATCTATTAAAAATATTATTTTACCTCATTAGGAAGCAAAAAAAGGGTTTTTGTTTTTTTCTGCTGCATGTGGAAGGCTGCAATTGGTCGGCAATGTGCCTAGAATTCATCACTTTCAAATCCCTTATCCACAACTCGAATTCGTTAAAGTGATAAGAATATAACAGCTCAAAATACAAAATTATATGAAGAAGATAATGCCTAAAATATTGCTACCAGTACAGAATTCCTCAACCCTACCCTACATGATCTCATATTACTCAAACTATGAGCCCCATCCCATCCCATCCTACTCCATCCCATCCCCCACGAGCTTCTCTTTTTAGTCACAATATGTAACCTTAGATCTCTCAAATTTAACAGTTCACATCAAATACTTTTGAGTTTTTGAAAACATTTCTTGGTTCTTCAGAAGAATGTAGTCACCTTAGGTCTTGCATGTGGATAAGATTTGTGGATGGTGTAGCCAAGAATGACTTGCCGGCAAGCTCGTCAAAGGTTTATATGAAAAATGTCTTAGAGCCCTACAGAATTATGGGACACAATATTCTAGGAGGTGTCGCGTCGGAGAGTCATCTTTGGCTACATTTTAATCTCTTATTCACATGTCAGATCTACGATGATTGCGAGAAATGAGTACTATTTTCATATCAAGGCTAAAGGGATAATGTCACCTTATCATACTAGATGAAGTGAGTTTCTCAGTCCTTTATTTATCTCTACAGCAATAGGCACATTATGCAGCCAACATAGGAGGTTTCAAAAAGGGTTAGATTTATTCAGGTAAGGTATGTTTCATATTCAGCACTATAAACAATATATTTGCTATTCTTTTCTTTTTTAATATTGTTCACCGTTAAGACTAACAATCTACTTCATCAAATGAACCAGGTATGCTTATTCGATAATGTTGTCACATAATGTTACTTTGCTACTGAGCAGAAATGGAGTTGCACATTTATATGACTTTGATGACTTGTGTACCTATTAAGTTGAAAAATCTAATTATTATCACTATGCAGAGTCAATACATGGATCAATCTTATAATTTTGATTTTGCTCTAATTTTTTTTTTATAAATAATCAGTCGTTATTAGGGTTCATGTAGTTATTATAGAGAAAATAGGTTATGAAGTTTTTCTCATAAAATTCTTGTTGTCGCAGAAATTGAGGTAGTCTCACATTGAGATAAATCTTGCATGTTTTTTTGTGTCTTTTTTCCTTCTTACAATTTTATTGTTGTTGGTGGTAGGCTTCCAATTCGCATCAATATGGATGATTGCCTTTGGTTATCCTTTTAGTTTATGTTCATTTCTTGTCCCGCGCACAAATTAAAAGGTGTGAGATTGTAATTGTAATCATTTTCGCTTCTTCATAGTGGAAATTTGTATGAACAAGTGGACAAACATAGTTCTTACTTGAGACGGAATCACTATTAAGGTAATGTGGTTCTGATTTTGTAATTTGATTAGAGCCTCTAAAATTAGATGATTGATTGGGCTCACACTCCCATGTGTCTCTGTCAGTGTTGATTTTTATAACATGTACGATTAACACGTGACACTCTTCATTTCAATACATAAGCTCTTGCCTTCGCAACCTAAAGCTTAACCAAGCTTATATATGCAACCAAAAACTCGGCATTGGTGAAGTTATAGAAGCTCGATCATGTCAGCTCGGTAATTGCAACTTGTGCCAAGATTATTGATGGAGCCTTCTCGGTTGAAGATGGGGAAATGTTGGCAGTAAGAGAGGGTCTCCTCCCAGCCAAGAACATTAACTTATCTATTGCCATTATATATCTTGCATATGTTTAGGAGTACAAAATGAAATAAACTATAAAATATGATACATATTTCAAAATGAATGTCTTGGTTGTTCTTTCTTTTAATCAAGTAAACTTGGGTTAATTCTAAACAAACACTTTTTCATTTGTGTCCCCTCAAGAAACTACTAACGTTTGGAGACTATAAGCTTCATTCCCTCTTCCATTGATAGAACTGTCATCATCCTGTACTTCACAGGATGTCCTGGAACCAATTGGAATTTATAGAATCTACACAAAATGGCCAGTGCCATCTTCATCTGGAGATATGCTGAATCCTTTCCAAGGCATATCCTCGGTCCTGCCTGAAATGCAGTGAATTTGAATGGAGATGCATTTTGGAAGATCCCGTCTTTGAGCCATCTCTCGGGCTTGAATGAAGCTGCATCTGGACCCCAATTGTACTCCATTCTTCCCATCGAGTATGGAACGTATGTCACCATGCCTCCAGCCTTTACTTCGGTTCCATCTGGTAAAACATCATTTTCTAATATGCCTTTGGGATCCTGCAAAACAGATACTGTTAGATTTCTCCTTGTTAGATTTCTCCTTGGATCACTTTCTGGCCTTGAATTCTCCTTGATCACTAACCTGAGGTACGGCTGGGTATAAACGAAGTGTTTCTGTAACCACAGCATGTAAATAATACAGTTTCCCTAAGGAATCATAATTTAGAAGTCCTGCAAATTGTGCTACTCTCTGATTGAATGATTCTTGATCCTCTGTATGACACATATCAAATGAGACGTTCTCCTCTTTTGCACGATCTTCTTCAAAACTTTTTAGTTCTGAGTAAAGCTTGTGTGCCACATCTTTGTGGGATATTATCATGTAGATAGCCCACGTAAGTGTCGTAGCAGTGGTATCACGCCCGGCAATTACAAAGTTTAGGACAACATCTCTCAGGCTTTTGTCACTCATATTGTTCTCGGGATCTTTGCTTAGCTCAATGAATCTTGACAGTATGTCATGCTTGATCTGATAGTGTTTATGTGAAAAATAGTCAACTACAAGTTCATTTTATTTGGTAATAAAAAGTTGGAATCAAGTTACCTTGTCATCTTTATTATACCCTCTGGCGTTGTCTATTTCTGCTTTTCTCCTTCGGATGACAGAGTATGTAAAATCATCTACAGTTTTAATACTTTGATCAAGGATAACTTCTGATCCCAGGTTAAAGAATTTCTTGATTCTCCACAAAGGGTCAATGAATCTAAGAGTTACTATAATGTTTGCAGTATCAAAGGCCTTGGCAAAGAGATTGTCTGGTAAATTAGGAGCCAACGTTCCTATTTCCACACCAAATCCCACCTTACATATTGAGTCGAGAGTCATTCTCATTAGAAGTTCCTGGAAAAAGAATGCATGTCCCTGTAAATTCTTCTCGAGATCATCGAAATATGTATATCATTTTACTTGCAAACAGGATGATATTACCTGCATATCTACTTGCTGATTGCTGTAAGATGCTTGGCTCAGAATTTCAGAGAGTTTGAGGCTATACTCCCTGAAAACCACGGTGCTGAAATCCCTCAAGTTCTTGGACGCAAACTCGAAACTAGCAGTCTTCCTCTGCTTCCTCCAGAGCTCACCATCTGCATTGAAAATACCATCTCCAAGCAGAACTTCCATGTATGAATGATACACTTCACCCTTCAATCAAGAAAGGAAAATTTTCAATAAATTCCTCAGAAAATTGTAGAAGTTTATCAAAATCACCTTTGGGTAATTGTTGAAGTTTGTTTTCAGGACATGCTCCACATTGGCTGGATCTGCAATATATGTATATGTTGTGAAAGGCATTGGCACAACCACAGTTCTCGACTGGGCAAAATATTCGGCAAGCCAGTCGTGCATTCTGTCGTAATTCATCAGCTGTTCTATGGCAGCACCCACAAACGGCCATGTTTTGGGACCTTTGGCATTCCTCTGCTTCAATCTGTGAAGGAAGATCCATGAGAAGAGCATGCAGAAAGCCAGCACCATTATGCCCATACCGTGTTCTTGTAATTTAGGCTCGGAAAATGCGTTTTGTTTATGCATAGGATTTGTTTTAATTGGATTTTATAAATGTTGTGAGTAGTTAAAATAAAGGTTTCCTTCAACAATCTTTGGATGCTTTAGATTTAAAATTGTTTCATATTCTTGGTGTCTTCAACCTAACTAAGTAATGTGAATAAAAATGGGAAACAGTTTCAAATTAAAAGGCATGAACACAATTAGAAGTGTAGTTGGTGTGTCCTTGGCATGAATTGACATATTCCTATACTTGGATCAATATCTCTTATTTTACGCAAATTAATACCGAAGATATTTTCAAGTTGTAAAATTATTTAGATCTCCTCAAAAATTACTTTATTGACGTTTTGGTATCTCGGAAGTGCCTATTTGAGCCCCATTATTCCACACTATAATGAGAGACATAGTAATTTTTTAAAAAAGTGTGGTTAAAAAGGAAGGAAATTTTTTTGGGTTTATGTGTAATATTATTTTATTGAAAAATATATGGTTGATAAGAAAATAGAGAAAAATGAATTATAATTTAATGGGGCCAAACAAGGGCTAGACGAGCTCCAATTTGAGCTCTTATTTCAAATTATAACGAGGAAAATAGTAATTTTTTGGAGAATGTATAATTAAAAAAGAAGGAAAAGTTTTAGGATTACGTGTAATATTATTTTATTGGAGAATGTGTGATTGATAAGAAAAAAATAAAAAATGAATTTTAATTTAATGGGGGCTAAGCTAGAGAGATTGATAAGATGTTTGTATGTTATTTTGTCTAGTTCAACGAACCAAACATGCTCTATAAGATAATAGCAAATTAAATTTAATGCTCTTGATCGAACTGTTATACCTTTTGATAATGGTAACACAATATGGTAAGGACATCATATTAGTAATGCCAAAACATAAGGAAAACAGTAACATCTATTATTATGTGGCTTAGAACATCTCGAATCGTCTTATGAATTGTAATCTCGGTAACATTTAAATAGAAATGCTTCC